TAGTAGTAGGAGGAGGAGGAGGAGGAGGAGGAGAGGATGATGAAAGAGTGATTGTCAATTGGCTCACACTCAGAGGCCAATGAGTTTCACACAACCTCGATTGGCAAAAGCTGTTTTCCGTCCTTCACTTCGCCTAAGCTAGTCTCATCCGCACCCACGGCGGGACTCGAACCCGGCTTGTGGTGACGCAGTGCACAATTTCGACATGTGGCATATTGTTAGCATGATTGAGGAGTAGGCTGCACCAGAACAAGACGGGTTTGATGCCGGCGGAGGGTGGTAAAGAAACGCAAAGTTTCGAGAACTGATAGGCCGAAGCGGGCAAGCGGAGAGGAAGTACAAAAGTGGTCTTTGGGTTGGGCCCGAAAGGAGGCTTGTCCAACTGCGGCGAAAGTTGAAGGACCGGACGATGGGACAGTGGAGTGAGGTGATGGACAAAAGGGTATCGTGACTACAGACAGATTGGCCAATCTTGTAAAGACTTTCTTTTCGTCCAGCCCATGCTAGCAGATACGAAGAGTAACTGGGTCGAGATGAGATGACGTTGATTTCACATGAAAGTGTCTCTGATGAAAAGACGCGAAGGTCCATCGCACCAGACGACGACGGCTAATTAGCGTTGCACTGCTTGGCGACGATCTTCGGTTGGGACGCAGTCCACGAGACATGCTGCCTCGTTTCGGGTGGCAGCAGACTGAGTTTTCCTCCATCATCAAAGCTGCAACCCGTTCTTGTAAACAGTCAACAAGACGAGCTGAACTCATCCTATTTGGTATGTTTTGAAGTAGTGGCAGTTGAATTTTCAGACAATTAATTTGATGGACTTTATGTTGTTTTGCTTTCTCAAAAGCTATTCTCCTCCCAACTGCAGTCGACTGCAGTTTCGACGTCGCCCTGTTTCGGTCCTGTCAACACCCCCAGCGGGACTCGAACCGTGACACATTGGTTGGTGCGATTGTCGATGAAACAAACGTATTTTTGCTGTAAACATTGACTATATTACTTAGTTTTCATTTATAAGTAGAGTCTCGAGACTGCCAGTGGATCATATGTATGAAATGTTGTCAATCTATACGCGGCAGTGTCATGGTTCGAGTCCTGCTGGGGCTGTTGAAAAGACTGCAGTCGACCTCAATTAAAATGACAATACTTTTTGAGAAAGCAAGTATATGTGAAATGCAATAGGTTGTCTATCTGATTGCGGGCAAATTCAACTACCAGTACCGGCATCACCTTAAACGAAATGGGGTGAACATTGCCGGTTGTCTGAGAAACTCACTTTCAAAACGAGACCAAGTCAAGAAGATCTTGCGTCTCTACCCTATTTATCATCTAAATTCGTAACTAAAATGACAAAATGAATAGACATTGTATGTTTGTGCTGCATTTGCTCGAGTCTGTGTGTGTTAAGGTCTTCTTCTTCTTATTATTATTTTCTTCTTATTATTATTATACTTTTTATTCTTATTCTTCTTATTATTATTCTTTTTATTATTATTATTATTATTATTATTATTATTATTATTATTATTATTATTATTATTATTATTATTAT